AGCTTGTTAACTTTTATTTTCAATCTCTGATCAGATTATTTGTTAAATAATTATGTATGAAATAATATAGATATGACAAAATAAGTTTTAAGACACTTCAAACATCTCTATGCTGCAATCAGAATAAGATGAAGATTGACATGTATGCACATATATTTCAATAAATAGAAAATATTGTTTTCAGATACTTTTCTGAATGAATTAGGAGAAACTCCAGTAACTGGAAATGCTTCAGTGACACTAAAGGTATGCAGAACTAAGAATCTGACAGAAAAGGAGACATAAAAAGAGCTAATGATTGATCAGGAAGTAAGATCTGGAACTGTGACTACCATGTATGATAGTGTTTGATAATCAAGTTCTTGACTCCTGACTGAGATCTAATAATAGCTCTCTTTTAAAAATTACAAAGAGGCATGGAAAGAAGAGCTCAAGTAACAAATGGTGGTGAAAAAGACTAAGGGATTATATTGGGCAACTAAAAGTTATTTTTGTTAATGTCCAAAGATTTGGTTAATAAGTAAATATAGTACTACATGGTAAAAGCCTTTATTAGGGATTACCTTGTGATAAGAGTGGCAAAAAAATATTTTCCCACTTTTACTGCATCTGCAGGGCTGGCGGTTTTCAAAGTGAACTGATCTGTGTAAGGGGCTAAGGCAGGGGTAGGCAACCTCAGCTCTTTTATGAGTCAGCTATGCTGACTCAGGAATTCTGGGAATTGAAGTCCATGAGTCATAAAAGACCGAGGTTGCCTACTCCTGGGCTAAGGGAACATCTGCAAGGCCACTGTGAGGACTATTTGAGGCATCTATCAGATGAAGTCACTTCAATCTGCTCTGAGCTGAACTCTGGATATCAAGTTGTGTGGAATTCACTGAGACATGATCTGGCTTGGTTATCTGCAAAGATTTCAAGCTTGTTGGTCCTGAAAAAATGGACCAGGCCACTTGGTATATGCATGTCCCTCCCAGTTGGTAAAGGTCTCTTGGGAGACAATATATAATTAGATTCAGGTAATGGTGAATCCATTTCTGAGGGAAGGAGGGAGGGGTCCTGCCAACTCTTCAAGAAGCAGTAGTCCTTTTCCTTAATGAACCATGGTTGGTCTAATGGTCCTGGACAATTTTCGTTCTGTCTGTAATCTTCCTTTTACAGGGAAAGTGCTGAGAAGGTAGCTGAGTTGCAAGGAGAAGGTGGCTGAGGACCTTGGGGAAAGCAAGCTAATCTTGCTTTTCAGTAAAGATTCAGACCTGGATACCAAGTTAAGATTGATCACATTTGTTGGTGATTTTTGGAAAGACTGGAATGGAAAAATGCATCTGTCCAGGCTTTCCTGGATCTCTCAGTAGTTTTTGAAAACATCAATTATATCTTCTGGACCAGTTTTAGGATTGGCAGTGGGAAGCATGTTATTGTGGCAGTTCTCCATCTGGGCTACTTTCAGTTGGTGGGGAGAGAAAAGTCTAGCTCTAGACCCTATTTTACACCTATATCAAGCCACTGTTTAATGTCATTTGTCAGCATGGGATTAGGAATCATCATTATGCTGATGATACATATACATATCTGTACTGGGTCAATCAACTGATGTTGTCACAATATGTATGGGGATCTGGATGAGGAAAAACACGATCTGGGTTGTAAGGTCCCACCCCCTTATTTGGGGACCTTCCATCTTTAATTCTGAATGGGCTAACATTCCCTAGACAAACCAGTGCACAACTTGTGGGTCCTTGTGGAGTTTTTGGTTCTACTTGCAGAACAGGTAGCTGTGGTCAGGAGCTCCTTTGCACAAATCCATTTTGTGCACCAATTGTACTGCCCAGAGTCACTTGACAGTGAGATGGCTGACATATAAATGAAATAAATATGTTTGGATTAATATCCACGGTCATTCGTGCCTCGGTGACCTTCCATTTAAATTCTTGCAACGTGCTGCTCATGGGTCTGCCTTTGAATACTATTTAGAAGTTACAACTGTTCCAGAATGCAGTAGTGTAGGCAGTTAGAGACACACCATGGTGCACTCATGTAACTTCACTTTGGAAACTGCACTGGCTTCCAGTAGGCTCCTGGATGCAATTTAGGGTTCTGGTTATAAAACCCTTTTAGGCAAAGGACCAGCTTATCCCTTTATCTTTGATTGTATCTGCTGTCATATAAAATCTAGAGATGTTTTATGTGCTCCATGAAACAGTGCCATCTGATGGAATCCAGGAGATAGGCCTTTTCCTTTGCAGCTCCTACATTATAGAACTTTTTTTGGGCGGGGGGGGGGGGAGATTTGGATTCCTTGACCATTTGGGCCTATTATAAGACTTTTTGAAAATTTCCCTCTTCTCCAGACATTGGACCAGGTATTGAATGAGTCCATTCTGTAGGATTTTGGCATTTGTTGGAGTAAGGATTTTTAAATTAGTTTTGTTTTGGTTATTTGCCCCAACTGTAATCCCAAATTAAGGGATTACAGGGTCATAAAAAGAGTTTGTTTTTGATTTATTAATTTTTATTAATTTTATTAACTTATTAAATTTATAAAATAAAAATAAAAAATAGCTTGTATTCTGAATCACATACAATTGGACTTGAAAAAGTACTGTGAGAATAATAAGGGGGTGACAAGACACTTAATAGAATGTTTAGTCTGTTTAGGTAAAAGCTAATAAAGAAGAGGAATACTTTTGTTTCTGATGGCACTCAGTAAAAGAAAAGGACACAAAGCCTTGATTCAGACACTGTATTAAGCCAAATAAGGTTTATTTACTCTGATACAGCATGTTGCAAGAACTAAGCCAGAAATGGCTTAGTAACAAACCATAGTTAAGGAAACCTGTGAACCCACCCATATCGCGTGAACTTAAAAACTTGTGCACAAGTTAAGGAGAAAGAAGGGAAGAAAAGGAAAGACAAACCATCTCAGTGAGAATTTCTTGGGCCTGTGAAAAAGAGTAGAGAATTGGAGCATTTGTGAGTAATTTGTTAAACTTTAAGGATGGGATGTGGCCTCAGAATGGTCATGGGTGTCCATGCCACATTTTATCAGTATCTCCTTATAAATGTATTTTTTCCTAGGGCATTATAACATTCATGCAACCCAGGAAAACGCACATTTTAGTTAGGGAGACATATCTGCCTCAGTGTACCTTGTCGTACCATGTGAATAGCTCTATAATTCAAATATGTATTTCCATGGGATCACACAATTACTCTATAGGCACAGAAAGACATGCTGTTTCTTTAAGGAGGCATTGACAAATATATCTATTCTGAGATGACTTTCTAGCTCTGAATCTGAATTATGCCATATTCCTATTAATTTTAATGTACTTCTTTAAGAGGTTGAATTGTATTGTATATACTTAGTATATTTGTAATATGTAACTGTATAAATTGTGTAGGAAGTATAAGTGCTGTATTCAACTAGTTGCCATGACCAAAGAGGCTGTAGATCTCTTTCCTTCAGTATTAAAAAACAGAACTGGATTCAGGTATTTTAAGATAAAATATCCATTTGGTTTAAAATAAATACATCAAACCTAGGCAAATTTTGGGATCCTTCTTCATTGTAAGATACAGATCTGTTTTTTCTAATCAAATTGGGGCAGAGAAACTAAAACATCAACTTTTTGGTAATAAAAAGGTGGTTTTACTTTGCAAACTAAGAAATCATTTGTAAATCACAGAACAGATGGAGTTGTTTCAGAGACAAGCATGGAGAAATATAATACTGTAAGTGAGGTAGCATTATACTGGATAACACTACTGATTTTTTATTGTCATGTACAGTCTCTCTCTGTATAGAAACTATTACGTAAATAAGCAGTTCAAATTTTATTTATTTTGTTTAGCAAAATCAATTTCTATGCTTTATCAAAGTATATCTGAAATTTTACAGATATCAGCAAATGGAAATTTTATAAAACATGTTTTCAATTCTCGGTAGACTTGTTTTTCAAATAGATCTGAAAGTGCATAAGAAAGTAATTTGATGACACACTGGTGCCTGATTTGTCAAAACAAACTACAGTTCTTGTTTTAAGAACTTTATATTTAGCCATGGATGTTAAAAATACTTTTCTTAGTACCCTATTAGAAGGTGGTTCTGATTATTTTTCTGTTAAATCAGGAGAGTAAGAACAGGACAGCACCACTAGTGTTTTTTTAATTTCATGTAGTGTGGTAGAAAATTCACTTCCAAAATAACAACAACTGGTTAGTGTGCAAACAATCATGTTATTAGTTCCAAAGCTTTCAGGTTTCAGTGGGTCACTGGTCTCATGCCCCCAGATGAATCCAAAGCAAGAGCTGCAAGGTTACATAGATCTTATGTAGAATGTTGATCAAGGACAATTTGAGCAGGTGTTTACAGCAACAGAAGATCTCAAATATAGAAAAAAATGTTCAATTTATAAGAAAAAAAGTTGGCCCCAAAGGAAGACAAAAGCATTACAGACACATTTCTTGAAAGCCTAAATCAGCGGTTCTCAACCTATGGGTCGCGACCCCATTTGGGGTCGATCGACCATTTCACGGGGGTCGCCAAGCAAGGCTGTCCGCCATTTTTTCCCCCTTTTCCGGCGGGTGCCTTACCTCCCTTGGGCTGGGCCAGCTGGTGGTCGGCCTGCTCCATCTCTGCCGCTTGCCAGCTACGCCTCGGCCGGCGCAGGGGGCGGAACCACGCATGCGTGGTGCTCCCGGGCAGGGAAAGTCCTCGACTTACGACCGGTTGGGTAGTCCTCGACTTACGACCGGTTTAGTCCTCGACTTACGACTGGTTGGGGGTCGTGGCATTAAAAAGGTTGAGAACCACTGCCCTAAATAAAAGCTTTGATAGATGAGTTGAGCCAAGATTTCACCAGTAATTTCAACAGACTACCCTGCATTTCCAGTGGAAGAGGGAAGAGATAAGGAAATGGCAGCATTTATCCTTGAATCATGTGACATTTCGAGGCATGAACTCTTATCAACAACTGCTGTGTTGTTTTCTTCTCTTTCAGGAAACCCAGCGCTTGCTGGCAGAACCTGTTCCTGGCATAAAGGCAGAACCAGATGAAAGCAATGCACGTTATTTTCATGTGGTCATTGCAGGGCCACAGGATTCCCCCTTTGAGGGTGGGACATTTAAACTTGAACTATTCCTTCCAGAAGAATATCCAATGGCAGCTCCGAAAGTACGTTTCATGACCAAAATTTATCATCCTAATGTAGACAAATTGGGAAGAATATGTTTAGATATTTTGAAAGGTAAGCATTTTGGAATCATTATTACAATGATACCTTCTTTTAGCACATTGTGAAGATATTCAGAAATTATTTCAGTGATTTCCTAAGATGGCAGGGGTGGGAGAAGGAGAGTGTCTTTGTTAGAAATGCTGCTGTAGTACCCTCTCACTTGCTTCCTCAGATAAATGGTCTCCAGCTTTGCAGATCCGTACAGTTCTGCTATCAATCCAGGCTTTGTTAAGCGCACCCAACCCAGATGATCCACTAGCAAATGATGTAGCTGAGCAGTGGAAGACCAATGAAGTCCAAGCCATAGAAACAGGTCTTGTATCTTCATTCTAGGCCTCTCTGGGGGATGATGGGAGGTTCAGAAATGTAAAAAATTAATTAATTTCAGGTTTGATACACATTTTATTCTGTATTTTTCTCAATTTCAGTAGGCCCACCCTTAATTATACCTTTGAAAGGTATAATTAAGAAGAAAATTTCTATTGGGACCAGTGTACAAGGCTTTCAAATGTTAGGTCTTCAGAATTAATTATGTTAAAATCATTAATGGCCATTGGAGGTTTTATTTGGAAACAGCAGATAATGAAGTGTGCAAGGATTTAACTTTTAATCTCCCACACTTAAGAACAGTATTTCTTCAAGATCTCTCTCTCTCTCTCTCTCTCTCTCTCTCTCTCTCTCTCTCTCTCTCTCTCTCTCTTTGTTTCTCTCTCTCTCTTTGTTTCTCTCTCTCTCTCTCTCTCGATTTGGAGAGAGTAGGTCCTCTATCTACACTTCATTTTTCCTTTCCTTTCCTTTCCTTTCCTTTCCTTTCCTTTCCTTTCCTTTCCTTTCCTTTCCATTCCATTCCATTCCATTCCATTCCATTCTAGATATGCATGCAAGCAGTTAACTTTTTTAAATAAAGGACTAATATCTGGTTCAGCATAATTTCTGCCTATTTCCTAGCCTCCATTGCTGAAGCGTACTTCCCAGCTAGTTTGTTAAGGATACTTGAATAAACATGTATACCAGAAAAAAAATTAGATAAATTACTCTTTCAAATGGTACTACATTAATGTCACAAATGAGGCACACTTATCACAACTAATTATGATAAATGCTGTATAACGGACTGTAGTAGTAGTAGTAGTAGTAGTAGTAGTAGTAATAATAATAATAATAATAATAATGATCAATTCATAAAAGAGGGAACTCATGGCATAGAACTTTTATTACATATGATTATTCTCAGCACTGATAATATAGTGATAAAAATGCTGTAACAGATTTTCACAAAATCAAATAAACGGGTTGGAACAAAGGGAATATATTTAAATGTCACTATCTTACTTTTTTGACTAATATATCTTTTTTTCCTTTGTTTTTACAGCCAGAGCATGGACTAGGCTATATGCCATGAATAATATTTAAAATGTGCTCTAAATTAGTGTGCATCACTTTTTCCTGTTCTGCCAAGACCTCTTCCTTTTTTGTTTTCACGTAATGGACAGAGTCTTAGAAAACTTTACAGAATAAAAACCCAGACATCAGTTCTTTGGTGATTTAAATGCACATTAGCAAATCTGTGTCTTGTCCTAATTCACTCCTGTTCTGCATGAGCAGAGGCTAGAAGTATCATCAGGATTGTTTGTGAAGTTGTTTAAAAGCAGTAGCACATCTCTGCTTTTAATGATTTTTTCCCATCATGAATTAAGTGTAAGCACTGTGAATGAAAGTAGTCAGGGTTAGCTGCAGGGGTTTTTGTTCAAATTGTGTGGGCTCTTCCTCCCTTTTTTATGGTGATGCTAATTGCATTGGTTAAAGCAGCTAACCAGTTATATTCTAGCCAAGTCTAACTTAGCTGTAGCTGGACAAGCTTGGTTGTTTGAAAAAAATGGGAACATTAAACATCCATTCACTAATATTGTGATTCTGCTGTCAAGTGTAAAAAATCTTCCTTTCAAGAAAAAGCTTGTGACCATTTTGTATGGCTTGTCTGGAAAATCTTCTGTAAATCTTATGTTTTAGTAAAATATTTTGTTATTCTACTTTGCCTTTGTACAGTTTGTTTTGATGTGTTCTTTTTACCCATTTCAATTGTGACAATCGCTTTTTTAAAAAAAACAAAGCTGGATTGAAACTGTTTGATTTCATCAACTTAAAAGCTGTAGTATAATCTTGGATTTTTTTTTCAACTTGTATTAATGCCTTACTAGTGTTCATAATATTTTTTGTTTTAGTGTTTTTAAAAAGCCTTTGATAATGTAATAGCTTATCAGAGACTTAAATAGGTTAGATGCATCATTGATGTTATGTACATGCAGTGTTAAGTACCACTAAAGCAGGAAGCTAGCAAAACAAACAGCAGTTTTGGGTGTGTATGTAACTTGTTTTCTTGTGTTAAGTATTACCAGGTATCAGACTATACATTTAAAGATAATTTGCATCTTTTAAAAATGATCCTGTGCATAGAATTAAACCCTACACTATGGTAAATTGGTTAAGATCTTTACGGCTAGCTTTGTTAAATCTGGTTTTATCTGCAATCCTTACACTACCATGTTTTTGTTCCATTTCTTAATTTCGAATATAGATTTTTTTTTTTTTAAAGCCATCATGTTAAGATGTAAAAAAAAAAAAAACCCACAGGAACAATGACCACATTTCTCACTCCCACACTTCTTGGAAGCTTCCTTTTCTTACCCTATGTCTTTGCCTTGCCTATCTTCTAATCTTTGTGCTTTCAATGTGGCCAATGTAATGCCAGTTGCCATGGATAATATCTGTTTTCTGGTTCAGGGGACAGTATTGAGATCCATAATTTTCCCATCATACCTATGCTAGTATCATCTGAGATTTCTATATAGAATATGGTGTATGTATTGTGCTCTTATGTAAGATAAATATCTATTAAAATCACATTTTCAACAGACAAATGCTTTTAGTGATGGTATTGTCCCCCGAGTTGATTGCATTATAGCATAATAAAAAGCTCATCTATTTTAGCAAGAGAGATTATCTTGAAATGGTTTTTCTAAAAACTGGCTTTAAAGCCATCTTAAAGTTATTTTAGATTCTGTATTAGATTACATCTGGGGTTTTAGTTGGTTCTTTCTGTATTATCAACGAATAACACCATTGTTGGAATACAGATATATATATATATATATATAATCTTACAATCTTTACAGATGTAAATTCTTCCATATTTTGTTGATAAACATAAACAATACATATTTGTAGTATAATGTAATTCTAAAACTATTAGTGAAATACATATCTGATTTTGACAATGTCTGCTATCTAATACATTTTGCTTTAGCTCGCAGTTGGATGATGATAACATTAATATATATTTTGTTTAGTTGGATATTCACATAGCACATGCCTTTGTATTGTTTATTTTGACATCCCCTTTGGCATTTTTCTGATATTCAAAATACTTCTACTGTGGATTTACTCTACTTTTTATTTATTTAAAGAACAGCTGAATTTTTTGTTTTCATATTACTTAGATTCTAAGATATAACCACTAAACTATATTTATTGGAAAACAAAATGCTATAAATAAAATTTGTCTTTAAAATCCCAGAAGCATTTTGACCTTAAATTAATTGTGAGAAATGGTTAATCAGAATTCTTAGTTTTCAAATGTATTGCATAATCCAGCCAGACTTAATTACGGGTTTCATTTGAAAGGTTTATATACTGATATCAGGTATTTGCTTGCAGAAAGTGCCACAAAGCTCTTCTGTGAATGCATAGGGTCACTGGCTTAAGTATATTTTGTTGAACTAAATGGGACTTAAAATACTTTGCATTATGCCCTCTCCCCTTTTCTTGCATGTAATAAAATACTATATTATGTATTCAGGTAACTTATAAGTCATAAACTTTGAAGCAGTTATCTTACTCTCTATTTTAAAGAGATGTGTGTACGTACAATTTTACATAGTATTTTGTTGGCAGTGTATATATTTCTGCAGAATATTCAGAATTCATTTATATACACTCTGTGTGTGTGTGTGTGTGTGTGTGTGTTGAACTCAAACATTCTATAGGGACAACAGTTAAAATTTTCAAGAAAGCCTCTCGTGGATTCTAGCTCTAAATGTTGACAAGTGAGGATTCAAAAAGCATAGATTTTTTTTAAAATTTTTAAATCTGAATTACATAACATTAAAACTTGCGGGTGAAAGACCTGGTCTACACATGAAGGTCCAATTAAACTGATTTATTGCTAAAAACCTATGCCCAGGAATCTTCTCAACTAATAGTCAGCACCTGGTTAGAGTTAGATAAGGGTCAACAACCCTCAAGGGGGGGAGTTGAATTTAATTTGCTTGTGGCTAAGTAGGAATTTTAGGCTGATTCCCCCTTTTTGAATACTTTATTTGACCAAGTGTGATTAAACACACAAGGAATTTGTCTCCAGTATAGAAGCATTCAGTGTACTTGCAAAGCAACAGAGAAAACAACAACAACAACAACAATAATATAGGAACTGCCTATATCAGTGATGGTGAACCTTTTAGAGACCAAGTGCCCAAAAACTGCCCCACCCTCTGTCCTGCCCCCACCCTGCCCCTCACCGTGCCAGTCCCGCCCCCACCCCTGCCCGCCCGCAGGACCACCCACTGCCTCCACGGCCCACCGCAGATCGCCCAGGCGGCCCTGCAGCGCCATGGCAGCCACGCCCTCCGCCCATGCCCCACAGCATCATCTGCGCATGATAGGGTATGAGGGTGGAGTCTTGTCCCTGTTGCCCGGCTGCCATGTCCTTGGCTCTGCTGCTCCGCGTGGGCTGTGCCCGGAAGCAATTTTCCTCTGGAGGGGTTGCTGGTGAGGGGGCCGTGGAGGAGGCGGGGCTGGGGCAACAGCACATGTGCCCACAGAGAGGGCTCCAAGTGCCACCTCTGGCACACGTGCCATAGGTTCCCCACCACTGGCCTATATACTCAGATGCTACCTTAACAGTTCTTAGGTCTCTGGTTAGGACTTGAACTGTTAAGTTTTTACCAGTCCCAGGCTTTGAATCAAATTGAAGATTAACAAAATAATAATAATGATAGTAATAATAATAATAATGATATACCAATAACAGGGGGAAGTAAAGATAATTTTCACTTCATGCCCAAGTTCTGCCATTACTTATCTTACAAAAATCAAATCCACCCTTCTTTTTTAAGTCCAGAAACATATTGTAGTTGAAGGTATTTGAAATTTATCTCTGTACATTGATTAAATTAATGATTTAATATCTGTTATCAAATTGTGCTGTGTTTTTCCTCTTTTGTCCAATCCAACTTGTGGAAGTAACTTACTCTAAAACAGTCATTTCATTTTTTCATTTTCATTTTATTATATTTATACCCCGCCCTTCTCCCGTAGGACTCAGGGCGGCTTACAGCCAGTTTAAAAACAGTTTAATACAGGCATGTGGTAGTCCTGGTAGATGTGCAATGTTCAGTTGCTGATTTATAAATAGTTCAAATACTATACTCTGGATATATCTGAGCTGAGTTGTCTAGTGGTGTTATACTGATGAGAAGGGTTGGATGATTCCATCCTCTACAAATAGGCCTTTGAAAAACTTAATGTTTCTTTTAAGATAGGGAATTTTAAGCAGAAAGATTGGGCCCTTCACTGAATTGAAGTAGATGTATTCCATATTATTATGATTCTAAAAACAAACAATATTTCTATTTAATCCAATAAACATTTATGAATTATAAGATTAAATTGAAATTATCATCTTCTTTACTAAGCCAATTCCCGTACTTGCAATACTTGAGAATGGAAATCCCTGAGAACACAGCACACACATACACATATATATGCTTCGCATGAATAAATTTTTTAGCTGACAAGTAAATAATACTTATGCCCTAAAGAAAATGAGGATTGGATGCTTTTTAAAAGAAATTTATTTCTAGTGCATTATGGTTTTATAAATAGTCTGATTTAGTTAAATCATGGTTATATGTATAATAATCCTTCGTGTACATTCCTACCATTTTATGGTTGTTTTAAAATGCCTGATAGGATCTGTTTGACATTTTTGACTGTAATGTTATGACATTGAAATAAAAGGAAGAGTGATTATTCATTATACAGTGAGCTTTTCATTGGAGAATCCCTCTCTTAAAAATAAGGCTGGCACTATCACATTAATTTTTGTTTCCTTTACACAGATATTTAAAAATGTAGATTTTCCCTAACCAGATAACTAAACTACAGAATTTCATTACCTCTTTATGTAATAGGCAGGAGCAAACAGTTGCAAATTTGACAAATGTTGGACATGTCAAAGGAGGAGAGTGATTAATTCACACCAGCCCATTTAAGCTGTCAGGAACAGGGCTTTAAAATAGTGTAATGCTTCTGTCAAAGTATATTTTCCAACTAAAGAGAGAAGCCATGTTAGTAGTAGCAATTAACTATCTGTCCTTTTCTTGTGCCCTCCCAAATGGGCAATCTAGAATGCCAGCCCAGCCCCAGATTTAAGCAGCAGGTTTTCTTGATAGAAGCTGGCTCCTATGTTTTCTATTTCTGTTGGAAGAGATGGCTCAACAGGCAAATCAGCTATTTTAAGGCTGGGCCTCTTTATGAACAGTTGGTAGAGTTTAATAGTTTTTATATAACACTCCCTTTTGTGTTGTTTTCTCTTTGTTATCAGCTTGCTTTCACTTTTTCCCATGCCCTTCCTTGCCTTTTCCTGTTAAAACCTTTATGCTCATCCAGCAGTAAGTCTGAAAATATTCTCTGGTAAGTCTTACTCCCAAGAAGGCTGGGGTTTTTCCTTCACATATATGTGGAAGAAATATCTATCACCTTTTTAATCAGTTGAATCATTACCTGTTTATAGTAGTAATTCACTGGGATTCATGTTTAATGACTGTGTTTACTTATTTTCTGGAAGCCACCATTTGATTTGATGCTGAAACACCAGTGTGATTTGTCATTATCACTCGGACCAGTTTTGTTGTGTTTGAAACTGAAGTTTGTACATAGATCACTTTAGATAACAGGATTATAACTTGGGAGATACTATGATTGGATCTTCTACTGGACTCTGAAGCATTTAAAATTTTGAATAATTCAGATACAGCGATCCCATATTTGCTTTCAGTTTGAAAAAGGATTAAGGTTCAGCATGGTCTGTGAGAAGTCTGTTACCTTAGGATGCCACCTTTACAAGGCCATCATACGATAGGGCAGTGTTTCTCAACCTTGACAATTTTAAGGCATGTGGACTTCAACTCCCAGAATTCCACAGCCAGCAATGCTGGCTGTGGAATTCTGGGAGTTGAAGTCCACATGCCTTAAAATTGTCAAGGTTGAGAAACACTGCGATAGGGAAAGAAGGCTGAGCAAAGCATGCTTAGCTGATTTGTGTGTTGTTTGAACTCCATTAGATTTATTTGTAAAATGAAGAGTTGAGTTCTCAAATAACTTTATATTCTGAAGTTGAGTATGAATATGACAAGGGGAGTCCATGGCTTGCTGACAGTACCATTTTCTTACCTTATTTTACTGCTTCATAAAGAAAAATATTTAGAGTTGACAATCATTAATCTTGATCCTAAAAATTAG